GGCCTACGGAGGCAGTTTGGACGTATCATAGCAGGACAAGCAGCTGCATCTGAGTAGGGTCTTGGATGTTAGTTGCAGGGCAAGTGCAGAAGGCCTTCTACAATGTTTGGGGCCCGGTGTCTGTTCCTGGCTCTTCGCCGTTGTTCCTCTGCTCCTTGTCCTAAACATACACAGGCTGCAAGGCTGAGGGTCCGGGAGGCGCTAGAAGCCCAGGAGGTGGCTGATGATATTAAAGTCCAGGTGGGTGGAGGTTTTATGTGGTTAATTCACTTAGTCATTTCTGTTAAGTTCCATCTCCTCTAGTTCAGCCCTTTCTGAAGATCATTTTGCAGAGGCTCTGCCTGCCCTCTTTGAGCTGAAGATGTAAATTCCAGCTGGAGGAGTCAGACCCATGCTAGTTCTGATCACTAGTGTACTAAAAAGAGTAGCGGAAGATGCTTTGAGTGATGCCCCAATATACTTCACATTCTCCTGCTCTGTGGAACAGGAGCTTCCTATACTTATCCTGCTCCACAAATTGAACACCACATGTACTAAATATTGCAAGGTGTGAAACCCTAGACACAATATAACCACTCTCTTTTGGCTTCCCCTTAATTAAACTTCCATTCCACACTCATCTCCCACTGTACTGCTGATGATCCCTGGGCTCTACTAGTGACACACTGATAAAATGAGATATACAGTTTGGACCTCCCTGGTCCAGCACCTTCGGGACCTGAACTATCCCAGACCAGGAAGTTTACCAGACCAGGGGAGGTCAGTGCTCCCCTTCTGGCTGCCCTGCTCCTGGGCTTCCCGCCCTGCTGCTAATGCACCTTGGCTCCCTGCCTTGCTGCTCCAGCCCTTGCTGCCTGGCGGGGACTACTTCGCTGCTGCAGGTCCCACTGCTCAGGGTATTCTCCGAGGTTCCTGGCTGGGGCTACCCAACACTGCAGCCCTGCTGCTCCTGGGGGTTCCAGCTGCCTCCCCCAGCCCTGCTTCAGCTGCAGGGTTCCCCAGAGAGCTTGCCTGGTCATCCCAGCTCTGTTGCCACCAGGGGTTTCTCGGGGTTCCTGGCTGGGGCCACTCAGCTGCAGACAGTCCAACTGCAGGTGGGAGTTCCCCAGCCGGGACTGGGACTCCTCAGCCACATGGCCCAACTAACACTATGGGGTTCCGTGGCCCAGGCAGGAGCTCCCAGGCCACCACCTAGCCCTGCTAATGCTGGGGGTTCCCTTGCCTGGGCTTGGGGCTTCCTGGCCACCATCTGGCCCTGTTGATACTGGAGGTCTGGGCCAGGGTGGGGCCTCCCCAGATGCCATCTGGCCCAGCCAGGGCACCCCAGCCCCTGTGTTGCTCAGGGGATCTTTGGTTCACTAATATCCCTGGCCCTCCTGGACCATGGATGTTGCCAGACTGGAGAGTCCCGGATTTGGAAGGTTCAACCGTACTAGATTTCTCCAGGATCATGTGCATTTCTTTCTTTTGATCTCACATACAGGCATCAGGAAGAGGAGCTATTCCCTCCCCCAGGTCATAGCCTCCCAGATCACCTAGTATCACAATTACAGCTCTTCCAAGCTGCTCTATCTTATTTTTTCACCACTGAGTAAGGCTAAGTCTATGCTTCCACTTTTCTGTGCTGTAACTTTCTGGCTTTGGCATTGAAACCCTTGCCGCCACCTCTCCCCGAGCGCAGGGAGTTACAGCGCTGTAAAGCGCCTAGGTAAGCCATGCTACAGTAAGCTACTCCTCTTGGTGGAGGTGGTTTAGCTAGAGCGCTGGGAGATCCTGATTGAATATTAATGAAATCCTTTCATTGCCTTCAATGGGAGTTGGATCAGGCCTGAAATGACTTTCCCAATGTCCGTTGAGTCCTGCATTTAACTAGGTTCAGTTCAAACTAGGTCACCACAAACTTTTATTTTATTCCTCCTCCAGGGCTGGGTTCGTTCTGTCCGGTCCCAGAAAGAGGTTTTGTTCCTGCATATAAATGATGGCAGTTCTTTAGAAAGCCTCCAAGTTGTAGCTGACCCAACCTTGGAAAACAGGTTTGTAGACTTTTATGTATTTAAAGACATTTCTGCATCATTTTTGTTTGGAGCGGGCCAGTGAGTGATGTAGTTGTGTGGCTCTGCTCCACCCTATCTGAGACAAAGGGCATTGATTCCCATACCTAGCATCTTGCCTCCTGCTGCAGCAGAGATGGGAATACTGCTGAGGTGGTGTTATGCTTGGTGTTATTCGACAGCTGTTAGTTAAGGAGCTGGGTTAACTGATTCTAAAGGATGTTCAATGTAGGGGGCACTTTTAAATTGAAAAAACAAGGACTCCAGTAACACCTTAAAGACTAATCATTTTATTATGGCACAAGCTTTCGTGAGTTGCAGCTCACTTCATCAGATATCCGTTTATGCCATAATAAAATGATTAGTTTTTAAGGTGCCACGAGACTCCTTATTTCTCGCTGAAACAGACTAACATGGTTAGTTTTTAAATTGAAATTGTCTTCACTGAAGTCAGTGGCAAGACTTATTAATTCAGTGCGGCCAGGTTGTACCCCATAGTGGTTTCTCCAGGGCTTGGCTTTCACTGCTGGGCTCATTCCTGTGTAAGCGAAGCTGTGCTTTACCAGAAGCTAGGTCTTCCACATCTTCTTTTCCTCAACTTGCTGTCTTCTGTAGGCTCCTTAGTCTTGTCCTGCCTTTTTCACCAGATGCAGTCAGTGTCTCTGGCTGAAATACCATTTTTACAGGCTTAGCATAAGAAAAAGCATGGAGTGATTGGCAAACCCTGAGGTCTTTCCTTACAAACAGACATTGGAGCTCATATTGGAGGTTTAGCGAAATCTTTAGAATAACTCCACCCAGCTAGTAGTGGATCAGTCAAGGAGAGCTTACTTCTAATAAAAATAACATTTAGGCTTTTAGCTATGTAAGGTCATGTGCAATTTATTTCTTGCAAAATGGACAGCTTAGTGGTTTATGTATTGAATAATTTAAAATATCCATGCTCTTGGAATGAGGGGTTCAATACATACACACACACACTGCGCTCAGACTCTTTTCCATGTTGGATATATTGAGTGCCATGTAAATAAAATTTAGCAGTCAAATTATAACAAGCTACCTTTCTGTGATAATAGATACTGGAAGTGTAGGATTTAATCTACATTAACCCAAATAAGTCAGGATGAGTCTCTTGAATTCAGTGAGCTTTATGTCATATCCATAGTGATATATTGTTGATGTTGCTTTTTCAGAGATTTGGCTTTTGGAAGCGCAGTAGAAGTACAAGGGAAATTGGTAAAAAGTCTTCATAGGATGCAAAATGTGGAATTGAAAGCTGAAAATATCCGTGTGTTGGGCCCCTGTGATACTTTGGTATGTTATTGCATTTAACAGTCAAGCTAATAGGACACCTTTTGGAAAATGGCTATTCCAGTTTTTGACAGAGCACATTTCAAACTCTTATTTCCTGTATTTTTTAAAAGATGTTTTCTATTCTCCCATTGATGTGGACAAGGGCCTTTTCATTAACAGGGAAACTGACTAGTACACTGGGCAGGGGAAGGAAACTGAAACTAACTAGGATCTGAATTTGCTAAAGAATTGGGGGCCAGCACCCACAATTGGAACCAGAGTTCCAAAGAGGTGCTCTCTGCTGCCCCCATGAAACTTGCCTTAAGGTGTTAGAAAGTGATAAGCACCCGTTGTGCTGGACTCTTTTGAAAATCTGGCTCTTTACTTTTGCTCTGAGCCGTGTTGAAATTCTTATTCTGTATAGGTGCTAGGGATGTTAGAAATCATTTATTTTAGCCTTTATGTAGCCACAACAATTCTCAGTTGCTACATGATTACTAAAATGTTCCCCCCAGAGCAGGGCCAACAGCTAGTGTGCTCCTGGCCCCATTCCCGGGGAGCCCCCTGCCACTCCACACTGCTGCCTCTGATACAGAGGCAGCAGCACTAGGGTAGCAGATGGGAGCTGATCTGTGAGGGGAGCTGATTTAAAAATTGGCTCCCCTCGCAAGACCAACTCCTGTTTGCCACCCCATGCTGCTGCCTCTGTACCAGAAGCAGAAGCGTGGGACTGCAGTAGCCTCTGTCCCTGGGGTACCCTGAGCTTCCCGCGGACAGAGGCTGTTCTGGCATCCCATGGAGCTTGGAGCTCTCATGAAGCTTAGGCCCTCCCGCGGACAGGGACTGCTCTCTCTCAGAGGCAGCAACTTAGTGTGGCAGGCAGCTCTCCTGCATGCTCTTCATTTAAAACTCGGATCGGCTGGCTTGGATTGAGCCAGCCTGCTGGTGTGAGTTTTAAATGCAGAACGTGTTAGTGGGGGGGGGGGCGGTTTTGTGGTTAGCAGGGTTGGTTAACTGTGATTGCTTATTGGTTAAATGGTTAGCTGACTAGCTTCTTTAAATAGGTGCTCATAAGGACCTGCTCAGTATAGTACCTGAACATTTTCCAAACGGGATCGACACCCATCTCTTGTGTTTCATTCTCTTTCTAGAAGAAGTAGTATTATTTTTGCCTCTGACTTGTATCGCTTATTGAACTTTAATAGACAGTGGTAAATATTCCATGGATGTCAGTAAAATTCTAATGACTGCAGGTTCTCATGGTTGTGTTTTTTTCCTGTCCTTTCCTTAGGTGTTCCCTTTTAAACCCCGAGAGAGGCCCCCGTTGGAGTACAGCCGTCAGTTCCCTCATTTACGATGCAGGACCAATGTGCTGAGTTCCCTCTTGAGGGTACGCAGCGAAGCTACTGCAGCCATCCATTCATTTTTCAAGGTGTTCTACTCCTCCTTTGATTTTGTGACTGTGTTTTCACATATGCAAAGTTATGCAACTGGTGACAGTGTAAGGTGTGAAAAGGGGTCTCCGAGGTTCTGTTTCTACTTCTGGCACTGACTTAGGACTGGCCTCTACTGAGAGCTTACATCAGCATAGCTGCATCTCTCAGTGGTGTGAAAATGCTTACTCCTGCAAGACTGAAGTTACGCTCACGTGCTGGGCAACAAACCTCCCAGCTGCAGTGTAGACATACCATCAGTATCCCAGATTCTTGTTTTATGGACAGAGGCGGGGCGCATACCCTTGCGCGCTCTCATCTTTCCTCTCTCGCTTTGACTGCCAAAGTCATGAAAATCACGTTGGGTTGAATGAAATGTTTTCATGTTGATACCTTTCTAGGGTTTTTTAAAATTAAAATACAATTAAAGGAAACTTCCAAATATTTCAAATTCAGAAAATGTAAAAGTTTAGTTTGGGAAATGACAAGACAAAATACTTGATTTTTAGGGCTTTTTTTCAACTGAAATAATTCAGTAACATTGACACAAATTTACAAATGCTTCACTGATGCCAAGTGTGAAGTTTGGGACGGGGGAAGGGGGCAAACACCCCGCTGTAATGGTAGATACATTGCATTTCTTGTTGTTAATATGTTGTCCAATAACTGTATCGGGATACTTAGAAATTGACAAATGCAGGAGAATTCAAGCCATTTGAAAACTAAGAGTCCTATGTGGAATAGCAGCGTTCAAAGCTAATAGCTGGATTTCTAAGTACGGTGTTAAAAGCCCATTTTTCCCTATGGATTGTTCCTTCGTAGCTGTCAGTATGGTTTCAGTTGGATATGCTGTTCTTCACTTCCTAACCTGAACTTTTGTTGAAGTTGTGGCTGCTCGGCACCTCTGATAGTGAAGCCTCTGATCTCTCAGGCACTCAGAAACTAAGGCACTCAAACTTAGTGATTGCTTCTTTGGGAGCATGGCCATTAGTGGCGTGATCTAACACGTACAAGCAGTGGAATGTTGGGGTTAGAATTTGTCAGCTCCTGGCTCCCAGCCTATCCTCAGACCACAACTCCTACTTTGTAGTTGGGGGAAAAGAGTGAGGAGTCCTCTGGAACCCTTGAGTTTTGGTCTGGTCTGGCTTTAAACTCTGCGACTCGAGTTCAAGCTGACTGCCTCTGCTTTCAAAACCCTGTCTTAAAATGAGCCTCCCTCTAGGGTCCGTTCACTTTGTTTCCTTGGAACCAACTAGAGGGGGATTTAGGAAGGGATTCCCGCCCCCATGTATTTTGTTTTCTTTTATCTCCTTCCTCTGCAGCATCAGGGATGGCCAGAGCTGGCAATAGGACACTGGGTGGGGAGGTCCAGGACTCTGAGAGGGCACCAAGTGTTCCCTCTTTCAGATGCTTGGCTGATTAGATTCTTGTTCATATGCTCAGTGTCTAAGGCTTAATCTACCAAGGTACTTTACTGCTCTGCAACTTTCTGGCTCAGGGGTGTGAAAAAACATTCCCTCCTCAGAATTCAGCAAGTTACAGTGCTGTAAAGCACCAGTGTGAACCAGACTACAGCGCTGGGAGCCAGGCTCTCCACACTCTTAGCTACTCCCCTCTTGGAGGTGGTTTACTCAGCGTGCTGGGAGAGCTCTCTCTCAGTGCTCTTGCCATGGCGCCACCATATCAGCTCTGCTGCAACTGCACTTTAGTTTTGAGAGTGTAAACAAAGCCTCAGTCATCACCATATGTGGGGTCAGATTGGCAATGACGGGAGAGGGGTGCAGTTCGTCTTTGTTTGCAGGATAAGTGTGTGGGTCGCTTGCCAGGATTATCGGTCTGTATCTCACTTACTCATTTCCCTGCCAATGCAAGGGACTCAGGCATTGGCGGACCTCAGTCCCTCCTGTTCTCTGACTGTGGTGGGTTGAGGTAGTCTCCTGTGGTCTGTTATACTTTGATCCCACTGCAGTTGTTGGGTTAGTTGTGTGGGTGCCTGTGATCTATGAGATCAAATGAGCTGGTCTGGTCATGCCTTCTGGCTTTAAACTCTGCGACTCGAGTTCAAGCTCCATGCCAAGCAGTCTAGCTCCAAAATTAGACCTGAGAATTATTGTGCAGTTTACTGTCATAAAAGGTTGAGTCAGACCTCCTGTGATTTGAAGTTATTGTTGTAGGGAGCCTTGGTATTTCAAACATAATACTTAGATGATTAAGCCAAGTCTAGCCTTCTCAAGAGAATTCAGTACAATATTGTAGGGATTTTAGGATTGCTTTAAGATAGAAATATTGTGCAAGTTAATGCTACTGTTAAAGACCAGGTAGGTGAGATTATATTTTTGATTGGACCAGCTTCCGTTGATGGAAGGTACAAACTTTCAAGCTATACCAAGATCATCCTTCACCAACATAAGTTGATCCAAGAAAATATTATCTCACCTACCTTGTGTCTAATATCCTGAGACCAACATGGCAAAATAATCGCTTCACTAAAGAAAGTCAGTACTGGTGTTTGTCCACTAGATGGCGATACCCACAATCGTTTGTTTACAGATGGTTGCAAAAGAAATAGATTGATGTTGAAGAACATCTTATCCTCAAAGATTTTAAAGAGCAATAGAAAAGTGCTGGTAGAATTATCAGTAAGCATGAAATTCTGATATGGCATGTGTATCTTACTACTACTAAAGCAAATACTTCCCCTGTCACTATTTTTCACATGGAGTGCTTCTGCTTAAACATGATACATATTTTGAAACTAGATGCTTAATGAAGCTTGAATAGATTTTTAAAGGGACAATAAATATAAGGTCAAATTTGGCTATAACAGCAAATGCTAAGACCAGCAAAATCATGTCTTTTTAATTATTTCTTTGTAATCCAGTGAGAAACAGCTTTAAAAAAACCCCACACCCCCAAATATTCCTGCATAGAGCTTGCAATCCAAACATTGCAGTATTGTGCACAAGAACTGGAAAATGAAAGCAGTCTGTTTTTATTGTACAAAACTGAAGACTAAAAAGAGCATAAAGCTAAAACTTAAGCAGAAAATCTTTAACTGTAGTAGTGATATGTAGTAGGCAGAGTTTCTTTTTATTTTTTTTAATGTTCTTATTCCAAAGATTTTATCTTCTGTCCTGCAGTTAGATACCCAGAGCTGGCCAGTGCCAGCTGACATGGGCTCATGAGTCTCCAACTGTGGGGCTGTTTAATTGTGGTATAAATGCCCAGGTCCTAGCCCAGACTCTAGGACCTACGTGATGGGAGGATCCTAGAGCTTGGATTGCTGCCTGAGCTGGAATGTCTACACCTTAATTAAAAGCCCCACACCTGAGTCCCGTAAGCCCAAATCAACTGGCACAGGCTAGCCATGGGGCTCTGATTGCAGTGTAGACGTACCTAGTAAGTTGTATGCTGCATGAGTATCCTCTGAGCTCTGAATGCCCCTGCTGATGTGGTAACATTAGCTCTTACCTTTTCTGTGGTTTGATAATGAAACTGTGTTAAGTTCCTGAAAGGGGATGTGTGCTTCTGGGCACCCCTCTGATGAGACCTACTGCTCAGGTACTTCCTAAACCAGGGAGGAAGTCTGCTGATGTGAATTGCACTCTACTGCCAGTCTAATGATGGTAGCCATAAATTACATTGCACTTTAGAAACTTTACTCCCTGTTAATTTAGATGTCTTCCTGTAAGATGTGTTGTACACTGCTTCCCTCAACTCTTTGGTCCAGATAACCCCAGTTGGTTGATGTTTAGAGCTGGCTGCAAATCCCACTTATTTTCCCAGGCTTTTGGGTGGGCGGATGGGTGTGCTAGATGGGGCGGGGGAAGGAAGGGATTCTGCTCCCTATTTTAGGGCAGCTGCTGGGTTTATTTGTGCTTATATTTTGAAAAGCACTCAGGATGCTTTGAAAGTGTAATCCTGGGATAATAACATGGCGCTGACATTATTATTTCATCAAGAGAGCCCCAACTGCAGTTGGGTCCCATTCTGCTAGATGCTTTACAGGAAGATTGGTCCCTTCTGCTTCCAGTCAAATGCTTTACAGGAAGATTGGTCCCTTCTGCTTACAGTCCAAATGGACTCTTTCCATAGTCCCCTGCCTGGCCTTTGTTTCTTTCTCATGCTTTCTGATGTAAATAGCATATTTTCTGCAGCGATTTTGGCACTGTGGACTAGAAAATAATGGAGCTCTATTCTTACGGTAGAATTGCAGTGGTTATAGAGCTCTCTGCAGGGTTTGCTCTATAGAGAGAACATGTGAAGAATCTGGCACTAAATTCACATGCTCTACAAAGCCAGCTGGTGTTTTGCAGATGCCATGGTGTATCTCATGTACTGTAGAAGCTATTCTAAAATGTTACACTTGTTGTCTTTGGTCTTGGGCTGATAGATGAATCCTGACTTGCACATGTTGAAATCTTCCTTGGAGTTGACGCAAAATGTCCTTGGACTAGTAACTTTCAATCTGCTGTCTGTTTCAGGATCATGGCTACGTGCACATTCATACCCCTATAATTACGTCAAATGACTGTGAAGGTGCGGGGGAGCTCTTTCATGTCAAGGTAAGTTGTACTTATAAAACAACTTTGTAATCACTGGATGTCAAAAGACAGAGTCAGTTTTGTATATGCTGAATTTTTGTATAGACTTCTCTGAGATTTATTTACTTTGTGATACCTAAGGTGATTATACTAAATGAAATAGACTAAGCAGCTGTTTTAATCTCTCTCATTTTTGTTCTGTACTTTCCTTGGTACCTTATGTATTGATCAATTTCTCTGCCCTGAGTTGTGTGGAAAAACTTTAAAGAGAAATGGGGTGTGTGTCTCAAATATCTTAATAACCAAAAATGTGGTTGTAAAATGAAAAAAATGGGAGGAGGTCTCCACAGGCACAGTTCAACTCTTGTGAAACTAACTCAGACTTCATGTTAATCTGATTCTGCTATAAACCCTACAATAATTTTTTCCCTACCAGCTTCTAATTTTTTCCCTTGCAGCTCATGCTTTTTTGTCCCTTCTTAAAAGCTGCCCATGCTGTAATTATTGTCTCCTTTTATCAGTGTTGCAAAATAGTTTAGTGCTTTAAATTGTCGTTTGATTGCTTTCGGCACTTGTAGAAATGATTCTCCCCCAGAAATGTCCTGAGTGAATTTCCAAACAATAGTAACTAAATTGTGGTATTTTCCCTTGTTTGCAGTGACTGTACCCACCAAAACTGTGTGCACTCCCATAAGCCTCTCTCCTAAAAGAAAATATATTCTTTGACCACAAAATAATTATATCTCCTTATGCTTATTGGCTACAACATTGCTAGTGTATCATCACTAAGCAAAAAATTGTTGAGGTAGCATACAGCTGCCTGCTGCAGTGTTATATCTACAGCTCCCTGCACCTAATTAATCTCCTGGTCAGAAATCTCCATATATAGGTTATTCAGGATTTAAAAACCTGCCCTGCCCTGCCCTGCCCTACTGACACATCCCCCTCATACCAGTCCACAACCTATGTACCCAAGCTTTCTATTTAATACAGTTGGCTGGCCAGCTAAACTGTGTCTGGTTAATTGAAATACCTTAGTATTACCACAGGGGTGCTCCTGGCTCTTATGTGCAAACTAAGATGTGAAAACACATGATGCTTGACAATAAACATATCATACACTTTTAAGTAAAATAGTGTATCTCTGTTCAGTTTTCTGCACAAACTATATCTTCCTGTTAAAGGGTTCTGCTCACTGCAGGTGTGCCGCCTTGTGGCTGGATCTGGGAATTAGTTCTCACTATGTCTGGTCTGTGCGGAACCTGGGGTCCTCCCTTTTCATGACTTGGCCCTTTAGCCAGGTCACCATGTAGTCATCCCCTGCTGGGATAACAAAATACCACTGGACTAACTGTCCAGACTCTGCCTCATGTGGTCTTCGGTTCCAAGTCTTCACGTCCTGTGATACTTTTCTGGTGGCTGGTAGAGGAACCCAGGCCCTCCCAGGAACCCTGTAACCAGCAGCCATGATCTGCACAGTCCCACTCTTTGCTGCTTTTTTTCCTAGGCATCCTTCTACCCTATCTTCTGAGGTGTTCCTCCCCACAACTTCTCTGGGTTGACTCTTTTTTCAGTAGCTACAATTCCAGGGGTTATTGTCCCTTTCTGAATTTCCAGTTCAGCACCTTGCTGCTCTCAGAAAGTGAATGTAGGTGCTGGCCAGTCTACTTCTGGGCTTCATGGTCAGTTAAGTCAGGCTCTCATTCTAGGTGCAACCCAGTAACATAATTAGCCCATTTTAGCCTATCAGAACCTATTAGGGGTATGCATCCTATCTCACAGCCTCAAAGCTTTACAGAATTAAATTATGCAGGACCACAATGTGAATCACGTCAAAAAAGCTCTGGTGCAAATGTTATTTGGGGAAGAGTAGCTGTAATCTAGCAAATGGGACTTGGGGAACTCATGAAAACTGAAACAAAAGACAGGACTATGCAGCACTTGAAAGATTAACAGGATGGTTTATTAAAGTGCTGCATAGTCCTGTCTTTTGTTTCAGCAAGACCAGACTAACACGGCTACATCTCTATTAATATTCTTCATGAAAAACTGATTCTTGGGGCCCCTCATTTAAGCTTATACCTTGGTTTCCCCCACTGTAAAACACTGTGGGATTTGTGGTTGAAAGGTGCTTGGTGGGTATTATTCTATTAAATAGTGTATATGGAACCATGTATCGGAGGGGTAGCCATGTTAAGTCTGTACCTGCAAAAACAGCGAGGAGAACTGTGACACCTTAAAGACTGACCTGGCCTACACTAGGGAGTTATTTTGAAATAACTCCCCTTATTTCAAAATAACAAACAGCATCCACACTGCCAAGCCTGTTGTTTTGAAATAAGGGGCTGGTTGTTTCAAAATAATAACTCCTGCTTTTCTGGGGGAATAAGCTTATTTCGAAATAGTTATTTGGAGAATTATTATTTCAAATTTAGTTGTTTCAAAATAATTTCCTGGTGTAGACATACCCAACAGATTTGTTTGGGATTAAGCTTTTGTGGGCTGGAACCCACAACAGGACTGTAACAGAGTTTGAAGAAAAGCTAGATAATTTCATGGAGGTTAGGTCCGTAAAAGGCTATTAGCCAGGGGATAAAATGGTGTCCTTGGCCTCTGTTTGTCAGAGGCTGGAGAGATGGCAGGAGACAAATCGCTTGACCCTTGTCTTCGGTCCACCCTCTCTGGGGCACCTGGTGCTGGCCACTGTCGGCAGACAGGATACTGGGCTTGAAGGACCTTTGGTCTGACCCAGTACGGCCGTTCTTATGTTCTTATGAACCCATTTTGTTAAATTCATGGAGTGGAAATTACAGAGGCAGGCATAATATATATGGAAGCATGGTGCTTTGGCCACCCCAATCTAGACTGTTCCTGAAAGGGTTTTGTCTCACCTACTCTTAAAAATAATCAGTGATAGAAATTCCACCATACACAATTTATTCCAGAGTGTAACCGCCCTGACAGGAGGTTTTTCCTAATGTCCAACCTAAACCTCCCTTGCTTCAATTTAAGCCCATTGCTTCTTGTTATGTCCTCAGAGTCAGCTTGAATTGCCGGTGGAATACAGCCTCGCAGTTCTTAGCCACATGCACTCATGACTTGGAAGTTTTGTCAGATGGCTGTGTATATTTAAACCTCCCAAAACTATAGTTTGGCCTCTGTAATCTTCCCCCATACTTTTCCCTCAACTCTTGCTCTTTCTGCATCTCCCCTCCCCCCCCTTTCATTTGTGGTTACATTTGTGGAGAAAGGAACGTGACATGAAATACAGTAAAACTCTGATGGTCCGGCATCTGACGGTCCGGCACTCCTAATGGTCCGGCACCATCAGGAACCCGGAAGTGCTCTGGGCAGCCGGACCATTGGAGCTGCTCTGCCCCCAGCCTCTC